GCTCCACCAATCTATCTCCCTCTCACACTCCCGGATACTCCTCAACCTTTCCACCTCCTCCTTCAGCTCTGCCACCAGGCTGAGCAGATCATCCACCTGGTCACACCGCACACAGGTGGTGTCTCTGCTGCCCTCCGGTACAGCTGACAGGCTCAGGCACTCCCTGCAGCCAGAGACCTGGACAGCTGTATGCTTGCGTGTGAGCTCCGTCTGGGTCGCCACATGCCTTCTGGCGACAGCTTTCGGCTGAGTGGAAACCATAGCTGGTCCTCTTCTCGGAAGCCGACAATTACTAGTTGAGTTGGCCTCTAGAGCCAGGAGGGGGGCTGCGCCCTGCCTGCTTGCCTTCCCTGCACACCCTGCCTGTGCGAACTGCCACGCAAAAAATGGCTTACTTATTGCTTTGCCTCCTTTATATAAAATTTTAATGAAATACTTATAAGCCAAAATAAAGAGAGCAAAGCAATGAGTGAGTTAATGCAAGTTATCTCAAATGAGTGCTAATAAAACTTGTAATACTGTAGTGTTATTTTTCAGAAGAAAATTTTACTCAAGTTTATATATGCTTATTTTAGTTTATTAGACTTTGGAAACTGGACTTCCTTTGTACCATGAAACGAGCACCTCATGATGTTAAAGACAGGAAAAAGTAATTAATAGGTTTAGGGTCCCTCTTAAAAAGGTCCTCTATAGAAAGATGAAGGCAAGCCCTTTATATTCTCTTAGCAATCTTTTTTTTCAGTGATGCAAAGCTTCTGTTTTCAGTCCTAAAGATCAAAGATATAATTAGTCTGCAAATTATTTACAGCTTAAGGGTAGTTGTTGCTTCCTATTGTCCTAGCATAAGCAAATAAAATTTAATATATGAAGCATATATATTTATTTATATTTATTGATAAATATGTATGTAATTTCATATGTATCTTTTTATATATAATTGATATATATAATTTCTCATATTAGAAATTATGTAACAGTAACGGTCATTAAACACTTGAATTAATTGAAGACTATGTAAGATCATTCATTGGAAGAAAAGCTTTACTCTGTAGAAGTTCTTTCTAAGGATAGGCAAGCTATAGTTTTAACAGACAGTCCGAGTTCTGTTTTATTATTTATATTTATTGATAAATATGTATGTTTCTTATGTACAAATAAAATTTAATATATGAAGCATATATATTTATTTATATTTATTGATAAATATGTATGTAATTTCATATGTATCTTTTTATATATAATTGATATATATAATTTCTCATATTAGAAATTATGTAACAGTAACGGTCATTAAACACTTGAATTAATTGAAGACTATGTAAGATCATTCATTGGAAGAAAAGCTTTAGACTGTAGAAGTTCTTTCTAAGGATAGGCAAGCTATAGTTTTAACAGACAGTCCGAGTTCTGTATTTTATTATGAAGAGGTCAGAGAAGAGATCACAAAGTTTCCTTCTGGTCTTTATTTTGTATAAATCTATGATCTATCCCCAGTAAATGAGGAAAGGGATGGCTACCCAGCATCCCTGCATTAGTTCTTTTAGTACTAACAGAGATGTGTGATAGAAACCACAAGATGATCGTGCGAGTTACTGTAATGAGAAGGTAGCACAAGTCCTCATCTGCTGAATACCACCGCAGTTCAGCAAATGCTTAAGCATGCTCTTATTTTTAAGCATGTGAGTATTCTCACTGTGATTTGCAGCCTTCCCAGTCTGATACACATGACATTAACTACACCTATTAACAGCCCTAATGTGAGCTATGACCACATACGTGAGCAAAAAAACAGGATTAAAGTAGTTGTAATGCCAAGTTTCAGATTTTGTGGTTAGAAAACTACTTCAAACTGAAGCTAGCTTTCTGAAATGTGAAAAGTAAATAACTGACATTATAGATTATGTAATTTGCATCAATTTATGTTTACAGTCATATTGTCTATAAAATAATTAAAAAGCATGTATACTGGCATAATTGCAGTTGTTTTGTCCCCCTCCAGGATGATCCACATACAAATCTACTGATTGAAGCCATTAAAAATGACAGCTTAAGACAAATAGAACGTGAGAGGTAATGGTGGAGTCTATTCTTTCTTGATTGTGGTGCCATGGATTTTAGCTCCTGAAAGTATTATCAGTCTTCTCAAGTGTCCACAGCTCTTGTTATAAAAGTGTCCTCGTAATTCTTAAGAAAGAACACGCTTGGAAGAACTAGTTTGATCACTCAGTTTAGTATACCGCACTGAAGTAGAATGTCTACCCCAAATGCTATAGGTTACACTGCTTAAAACTTGCAACATTGTTTTTTTTTAAAAATACAACTACAGTGTTCAGTGAAAGGAAGACAGAAAAAACTGAGAGCTTTATCAAGGTACAGGGCAGTAGCAGTAGCAGGGGCCTGGTTAGATTGACTTCTAAGATTGTCCTGAATGCAGGAAGACGCAAGAACAAGATTTGGTTATTCTTTCTTTACATTTTTTTGAAATGGTGAAATGGTGACATGTTTGTGTGTTGGGTTTTGTGTTGGTTTTTTTTTTTTTTCCCTTAGGAAATCCATGGCAGAGGAATACATCATGACAGCTGCTAAACTCATTGCACCAGTAATTGAGACATCTTTTGCAGTGGGCTATGACTGGTAAGAGTCAAGCGGGGCTTCTTTTTGTCTAAACTAGATGCCCATCTCTCATGCTGGTTATGAAACCAGATTCACAAACATAAACAGCCTGGGAAACATAGTTTGCTGCACATCTCAAACATAGCATCCAGGCTATTTTCAGTTTGCCTCCATAATGCTCTGGAGAAAAACAAAACAAAGCATTAGAATCTATTCTGTGTTAAAAATTAATTTCATTGTATCATTGAAACTCAACTGTTAATTATACATTTTGAACTGTTCTGTATTAGTACAAAAAGAGCTTCTTAAAGTTCAATTGAATTTGAAAATTCAGTTTGAAAATTGAAGAACTTTTAAAAGTCTCGATAGACAAATGCTATACAGAAGTTTGAAGATGGTAAGTTTGACAGTAGCATAATGAAGACTTGGGGTGCCTAAGAAGTTTTCATTAGTCCATAGAGTCATTATATAAAACACTGGAATCTAAATATTATTAGAAAAGTTTGTTTGCAGTTCATTTATAAACTTAATGTTTAACTTAATCTACTGTTTCTTAAACATTTATACAAGTGTACACTGTGATAGGCTGCTGATACAGTTTACCATTTTGGCTTTTGTATTGACTTTATTTTTCAATTTACAGATTAGCTTTTGCTTTCTGTGGTATTTTCTACAGCAGTATACTCTTCTCTTTAAAACAAAATAAAATAGACACACTTCTTATAAGGACAGTACAAAAATTATTAGTATAACTTTTCAAGATGTATTTTTAACTAATTTTTAGTTTTCTATTATAAGGACTTACTTTGATATTTTTAGTATTTTTAATAACGTTATTGGAAAATAACATGTACGCAAATGAATGTTGTGTGTCTGCAACCATAACATTACTAACAGATATGTTCAGTGTTTGGGAAGTGAAGGAAGTTTGGAAAAAGAGAACTTTCTTTTACCTGTTTTTTTTTTTTTTTGCCAGTTAGGATTATTTTCAAATTTTGCAGGTCCTATAATTATAATTTACTAATAAAGCTCTTTATACTAACATGAAATAATCTCTCACACAGACATGTTTAGTCTGCTAGAGTCCACAAGGTGGCGTTTGATGGTTTAATAATCATTATAATCTTACAATTTCCCTACTTTTGCCATTCTGACTTATCAGAACTTAAACAGTATGTCTTGTGAAAATTAGCTTGCTGCTTTGTAACTTGTTAGCATGAGTAAGTCAGATTTGTTTGCTCTGTATCTTGTTTTTTGCTCAAGAAAACTGGAAAAGGTTGTCAGACACTCAGTTTCCTTAGTGCTATCCACAAAATACTTCTCATGACGTAAAACACACTTTCATATCTGTTCTGTCTATCTATCAATCATATCTAACTAAACAATTTCTGGTGAGATGTGTGGGATTGTTTTGTGTATATCAGGACAGATTTACTCTCTATTCTTCTAGACTGAGGTATTCAAGCCCAGTGAAGAAGTTTTTAACCAGCAGTTTGAGCTTGGTTTTCCAAATACTACATTTTGTTATGAGTCCTCTGAGTATTAAATGTGCTTTTAATCAGATTAATTCTATTTACAGAAATAAAGTGGGCACAAATAATCTTCGGATTTCATAACTTCTTACTTGAAATGTGACATAATCTTGGGAATATTCTGTCATATTCCATAAGGAGCAGTTGGATAGTTAGATCTCATTGCATTTTATGGTTAAAAGATGTTAACAGTAACAGCTGAGAACTGGTTTTTGACTTTTCTTTTATTACAGGTGTCTTTGCAGAAACTGCTATTTTTTTCAATATAATTTTTCCTCCAACATCAAAAGGCATTTGTATACTTTCTATAGAGACTGTCCATATGCCAACCCAATTATAGCAGCAGGCAGTTTGTTAAATTAAACTTTTGTAGGCAAATTAGCCAACTATTAGGAGAAAAGAAAAAGGGTTTCCACCACTTAAAAAAAAAAAAAAAAACAACAACCCAATTATAGCAGCCGGCAGTTTGTTTTTAACTTTTCTTTTATTACAGGTGTCTTTGCAGAAACTGCTATTTTTTTCAATATAATTTTTCTCCAACATCAAAAAAGGGGTTTCCCCCCCTTAAAAAAAAAAAAAAAAAAAAAGTGGAAGGGATTTAAGAAGCATCCCACAAAGTTGTTGATTTACTGTGCTTAATTCCAAACAGTTTGAGAGAACAGTGTATGCATACAATAAATAAAGGTCTTGCTTCAAATGATTAGGCAATTTTAAAGTACACCACATCAAACCCTGGAAGATGGTGTCTGTGAATGAACATCTGAACTGTCTGCTGTGTTTTGTTCTGCCCTCATTTTGGAGAAGACCCTAAGCCAAAAGTAACTGGGGGACGATCAGAAAAAGGTTTATTATTTTGACTGTATTATTATTATTATGTAGCTCAGGGGCACAATCTGCAGTCTCGACTTTGTTCGCTAAGCTGGTTTATGGGTTTGGTAGTATATGCAACAGGAATTCAGGTTTGAAAAATCAGCTGATAGAACGTATCTGAAGAAAATGGTTTGAAAAATGATCTTAATATCTGACATCAAGTATCACTCAGTGATGGAAAATAACATGATATTTAGGCAGCTGACTAAAAAAAAAATGAGAGCAGAGATAGTATTAAGGTAGGTTATGGGAATAAAATGTTTTTTCAAATATTTTTAATAAAGTGCTCATTGCCTCTGTAAAGAAAGAATAGCTAAGAACAACTCATTTTGGAAATCGAATTGGCTGCAAAAGTATATAACTTCAAGTGGCATTTGCACAAATGCATTTTGTTTATCTTTATGGCTTGCTTTGTGTTGCAGGTGTGTTGAAGTAGTGAAAGCTTCCCACTATGTAGAGTTAGCCAATGACCTGGAAATAAATAAAGCCACTACTTACTTGAGGCAGCAGGATTTTAACCAGGTATAGTAACTTTTCACATTACTACTTTCTAATACTGTATTGGCAAAGATATCTTTCTTAGCCACAGCATATTTTTCAGCAAGGGAAAGAATGATTTATGCAAACATAATAATTATATTGATGCAGCTTGTAAAATAACTTTATAAATTTCATCTCTCATCAGTGTTTTTATCTAAATGAAATTCCTTCACAGAAGTTACAGTGAATGCAGTTCATGTCAAAATTAAGACACATTTAGCTTCACTGGGTGTCCAAGCTGTCATTACAGTTAATGGAACTGTAGTCAGTACAGTCAATAGAGCCTAGAAAGCATGTTGCTAATCAATGTGGAGGTGTTTTCCTTAGTATGAGCTGAATCTTTCTCTCAGTTAGGTTGACTATAGTACCAAAATATATGCAGATGCACTTCATATGTATCATTATTGTTTATGTTATGGTATTCTCACTGTTCCCTATGTACTAAAGCATTCCCTAAAATATTATAATCTGACCTTGAACTTTAGTCAGCCCTCCTATCCTTCCATTGAAATACAAACTGGAATTAAATTAAGCATCTGCTCGGGATCTTGGACAGTTCTGCATCTCTTATAAAACATTGCTCCCCTGGAGGGCACAGAGGGCTAGGATGAATCACCATTACTGAAAACATATTATAGGAGTTTAAGCCACGGTGTATATTAGCAAATGAGGAAGGTCATAGAAAAGATACAGTATTGGTACTTCCAAGTAAAAGTATAGCTCATTGCTCAAAATTCTTTAACTGGCAGAAGTTGAGAAGATCATAGAATCATAGAATCATAGAGGTTGGAAAAGACCTCTAAGATCATCGAGTCCAACCGTCAACCCA